TCAGTTACTGTGCACGTTAAAAACAATTTATAGTCTTTTCTATGCCCGTGTTTTGTTCTCACAGACACCCGGTAGCAAGTAACAAAACAACATTAAACTCCGGCAAGAAGATAAAGTCCTTTTTGCAAAATCATAGACATAATTAACATAATGGGAACACAGAATGATCTTGGAGAGAGCTGACTGTCGTAACCGAATGCGACCAGGGTTTAAAGGCTGAACGAATGACTGACAGCCACAGCGGAGACAAGAGTTTGTGTGAACTTTAATGTAAGGACTTAAATATTCATATGTAGCTCACATTAAGCTATCGTATGGCTTCAGAAGTAACAGAATAATTCGCACAATCGGGGAAAAAAAATAAATAAAAAATCTCGGATTTGGATCGGCCTTCTCTGACCGATACCCGATCCGAGAAAAATGGCACTATCGGAGCCGATACCCGATATGAATATCGAATCGGCACATCCCTAACAAGAATTGCTTGTTAAAGGAATAATTCACTCTAAAATGCTGAAAAGTTACTTTCCCTCGGGCCATTCAAGATGGATTTGGAGAAATTTAGCCTTACATCATTTGTTCACCAATAGATCCTCTACATTAAATGGGTGCCGTCAGAATGAAGTGAAGTGACGTGTGGCCAAGTATGGTGATCCATACTCAGAATTTGTGCTCTGCATTTAACCCATCCAAGTGCACACACACCGTGAACACACACCCGGAGCAGTGGGCAGCCATATTGCTGCGGCGCCCGGGGAGCATTTGGGGGTTCTTATTCTTATTACAAACACACAGATTTTCACGTCACATGGATATTGTGATACTTTTATCAAACTCATCTACATTCTGGATGACATGAGAGTGAGTAAATTTTCAGAAAATTTAAATTTTTTGGAGGAACTATTCCTATAAATTGAAGACCAATTATGATGCAGAGATTGTAAGACCTGGAGTTTTGTAGGAAGGTTGTTTATGTTTCTTCAGTAAAAAAACAAGCTCTTGATGTAAAGGCACATGACAGCAAGAAGCATACTTTGAAGCCTGCATTTATAAATGATTGATTAAATAGCCCCTTCAGGCCCTTTTAAAGGACTATCACACACAAATTTCGCTGGTACTACACTGTCAAAGCTAAGACTAGTTACAGTGCATATAGTCAGAGATGGATTTGGTTGTTGTCAAAATACCAACATAATTGCCTTTTGACTTAACCTGCTCCTGGTCAGTGAAAACATGCAATGCAAATACACATTTGAAAGGTATAACAAATTAGACAACAATGTAAAATTAAATAATGAAACAGCAGATATCAACGAACTATTTTATCAGACAGATTTGGGACTACACCGTCCACACACAACTGAGCAAGATGCATCAGCCTCATTTGCCACAACGAAGACACGATTTCATGCATCCATGCACTTCAATAAAGACTAGGTAGTACATGTGTGACTAAAGCAGAAAGCTAATAGTGCATCACAAATTGCTATTCATTCACCAAAGTCCTGATCATCATATAAAATATAAACAGTCAGGATGACAGCAGCAGCATGTCAATCAAAATTCTCTGACACACACAAAATTCTCTGACACAGTCTCGCGCATCCATTCGAGTTCTCGCAACAATGTAGCGCGTGCAAACACAACAGCTGGCAGTTTGAGAGCTGAGCCTCCATCAGTTTAGAGTAAACCTACAAAAAATAAACAGATCTCACAGTCCTGGTGATAAAATCTCATTTAGAGCAAGCTGGGTTCTACTAAATAATATTTCAGGAATATGAAACCAGAGACTGCCACTGTCTTTCCAGGCATGTGGCTTCTTTTATATTCTCCTACCCAACTTAATTTGCATGCACTCTACTTTTTCTACATGCTGAGACACTGATGCGATAATATTAACACTTCAGAGGAGTTAGAAAGCTCGGTTCCAGCAAGCAGCGCTCGAGCCTGTAGTAAACGCGACCGGCTCGAGCTTTTTTGGCTGGGATACAAATTGGAAAGGAAAAGAAAAAAAGCAGCACGTAATTGGAGTGACGCTCCCACGCTGCGAGGATGTTTTACCTGATTTTCCTGAGTTTCACTCTCCCTCTTAATATCCTCTTCAGTTCCACCACAATTCCCCAACTTCTCACGCTATATTTTTATTTCCTATTATTTCTATTCGCCAAACAATCACTTCTCGCTTCAAAGATGGCCGCCAGGAACACCTCCTCCGCTGGTGCGCTGGATGCTTGTGACCCCGCCCACTGAGACGCAATTGGGCAACAGCAATCAGTGCTTTTCTCTCATTGGATAAGAGAAGCGGTCAATCTACACGCAGTGCTTGACAGCTTCCGTGCATAGCGAGTGATGGTTGGTGTAAGTGTTGCCAGATTGGAAATGTCCAAGTATCGTGCCAGAAACTCAAAATGATCGTATTTGGAAGAAAATGATCGTACACGAGTAAAAACGTACAGAATACAGCTATTTATCTACTAGACTAGAACAACAACTTTTTGACACAACCTTCAAATCACCACAATAAATAAATAACTATGCTAGGGCCCTATGAAATACGTCTTTTTCCCCCCCAAATTCCTTTATTTTTTAAAATTCCAAATGTAATTTTTTTTGGATTCTGTTTTTTTTCTTCCATTTTAATTTTTCTGGACTCCTTTTTAAATGGTTAAATTAAATTGTATTAATCAAAAGCACGTCTAATTAAATAATGAAACGTATACAATTCAACATCAAATCTATTAAAAAGTTTAACAAAAATTACATGTTTAGGGTCTTATGAAATGTTCTATTTTTTTTTCAACTTGTTTATTGTTACCAAATTCTGTGTTTTAATAGGTCTAATCATTTGAATGCATAAAAACTACTTTTATTTATAACCTTATGAAATGTTTTTTTTTTTCTTTAGAAATTCTGCGTTGTGTATTTTAATTTTTCTGGTTATCGAATGAAGGCATAACATTAATTTAATGTATCTTTTAATTGATGAAAATTAAACACATTTTATTTTCTGGCAAACAAAGTGGATTAACAATTAAAATTAAAACATGGAAGAAATATTGTGATTATTCCTTAAATAATTTTAGTAGTAGTAGTTGTACGTACATTCTACTGAACAATAGTAATACATTTCTGGCAGAAACTATATATTTTTGACAGAGCAGTTCTGGGGATGTTGTTCATGTATTTATGTCCTATTTAGTGAGAAGGCAGATGCTGAACACACAAAATGTGCAGTGCTGGGGGGCACCCAGGACCAGGGTTGAGAAACACTGATTTAGACCAACATTTGTAGGTGCTCAGTTATTCAAAAGTATCAATCATGACTGCAAAGATGAACTGAAATGACTGTTTTGGTTTTATGCATCTACTATAGTGCACACAAGTGAATAAAGTGTAAACTTCACTGCATTAGATCAGCTTTAATGAATGCAAGAATATTTAATCAAAAAGATCACTCCAAATATATTTACCTTTAATTTTAAATGAAGTCCAGCTGATTAGTACATCAGATGTTGAGTAGTAACCACCTTCTCTTAACTGTCATTAATTAGTAACACACCAGGTTCCTCTGACATGCAAAATTAACCTAAATAGTCTTTACCTAATGTTAGTATATAAACAGGCAAAGAATGACATAGTAATTATACAAACCAAACACTTTGACATTTTTCAAATCTTCAACAGTATAACTAAAACTTTTTTATTTTATTATTATTTTTTTGTAATTTAAATAAAGCTAAAGGAAAATAAAAACAGACAAAAAAATTAGAAATGTTAGAAAATTAGACTGGAGGGGAAAAAAAGACAATTATTAAAACTTAGACGAAAAAAATACTAAGCCAATTCAAAAGATTTATAAATACTATAATAGTATATAAATAACACTAAACACTTCTCTTCAGGTACTTGAGTATTTTTGAGGGATGAAATAAGACAAACCAATAAAACCCTTTAAGAGAAGTTTATATAGACAATCCAGCACACTTTCATTTGCCGATGATTTATGCTCTGCTGTTATGACTAGATCTTGAAATCATTTGGAAAAATAAACAACTTTCTCAGATAGGATGCTGTTTGGTGCTTTTTAAATGCTCAAAAAAAAAAGACTGTTGATTGTTGTAAAAGCATTTTACTACGGTTTGCATAAGAAAATCATACCAAACTTGCTCAATGAGACAGAAACAGACATATCACCACACTATGAACATAATTGCCCGAGCTGACATAAAAACACACAATAGGCCTATTCAGTTTTCTACCAAACACGCTTGTTAACACTCCTTGATGTTGAAACCACAATAAACATGATTAGAGTACATTTAAATCAACAACACAACATAAAAACTGGCTTAAATAGGAAAACACTAGTAAAAAAAAAAAAGTGGCCGTAACAAACCCTTTAACTTTACATAGAGAAAGAGAGGGAAAAAGAAGTGATTAACTTTGGTTCAGATTCACAGAAGACTTCATAAAACCAGTTCAACACAGTCCCTCCACGGTATCTCAATAAATCCCAGTTCAATCTGATCTCCTATAACAGAAGCTAAAAGTTAGACTATGATGAAGCAATTACGACCTTCACAACCAAATCAACTTCGGTGGCTTTGGAAAAGGTAACACTAAATAGTCCTTAAATGGGAAACATTCGAAAATCTGTCATTGATTATAGACACTTGTGGCACATGAGTGTATTATTTCAATCTACTTATTTCAGGTATTAGCAGTCACTAAATGGTCATAGTACTATTTTAATAAATCAGCAAATATATAAGTCTGATAGTGCTGTACTGTTAACAAAAAATAAGCAACATAAATATGCAAAAGATGATGTGCAGAGGGAATAAATATGTATATTTAGACCCAAAGATGAAGAAAATATTGGTTCAGTTTAGAAAGTAATCATGTGACCGGCCAAAAATAAAGTACAAAAATGCTACATATTGCTTCTTAACAGAGTAGCATGAGTTGTCCCGCAAATCAATGACAACCAGACAGACAGATTCACAACTGATCATACTTCCAAGAGTTTTATTATCAAAAGTTGCCTATTATATTGAGAAGAAAGAAAAAAAAACATCACACGTACAGAAAAGGTGCCACACTGGACAAATGTCATCACCGTCAAATGGGCTGGAGATATGTATGGAAGAGACCAAGTTTAAGAACAAAACCAGACAAAACTGGGACAGTCTAATACCTGGAGATATGAACTGCAAAAAGCTACAAAATGGGAGGGAGACGTGGTGAGTTGGCCAACAGAGAAGACGAATGACTTTCAAACAAAGATCTGTCACAGTGGGATACAATTCAAATGAGAAATAAAAAGAGATAAAATCAAGGTAAGGGGCCGAAAGATGACATCTTTGAATTATCCGTCTAATATGAACACATCTCCACATTTAGTTGAGTATCAATAGTTCTTTCGTCTTCTCTGATGGTCACAATTTTACATCATTTGTTTCAGTATACATTTAAAAAAACAGTAATTTTATTAACAGATTAAGTATAATCAGTATAACAGAATATCTCCCGCTAATGTTCTTAAAATACAAACGAACGCAAAAGCCCTCCCATAATTGCTCACAAATCATCTCAAAACAAAACAAAACAAAAACATTCGCCTTTTGGCTTTTTTTAAAGAGTACAAAAAAAAAAATGTTCCCCCTTTCGTTATCTCTGCCTCAATTTCTCTCTCTTTTTAGGAGTTATCACAAAGCTGCTACTCCATTCTATTTTTCTTGCTCTCTTCCTCTACCAGAAGTCTCGGCGGTGGTAAGCATCTGGATCGCAGTACTTGGTCACCACCACCCTGTTGGCGAACTTTCTTCCCGTTAAGGCCTGCATGGCTTTCTGGGAGTCGAAAACAGTTGTGAACTCCACAAAGATCTGGAAAAATAAAACAGATCGTGAGCTGGTTTGTGTATGTTAGTGTAGCGCTACCAGATGTTCATTGCTGGAGGGTTCGAAGTCAAAGTGCTTTAATCAGCACCTACGTAAGGACTGAAGAACGGCAGAGTTTGACCCCAAGCCGAAGGCCCCCATCCATCACTTGAGCTGGTTTGGTAAGGCTTACCTTGCCGGTTCCGGGGATCTCAAGGCCATCGACAGGCCGGGGAATCTCTATGCTCTTGACCTGGCCGTATTTGGAGCATTCATCCCTGACGTCCTCCACTATCTCCTCGTACTCCTCATCATCCAGGAGCTCCTCTGGAGCCACCATGTTCATCAGGCACAGGACCTCAGTGGGAATACCGCCCATCTGCCCCATGGGGTTCGTCATCATCCCCGGCACTTGCAGTGTCACTGGAGTCTCATTTATACTTGTCTACAAAGGGTTAGTGAAAGGGAAAAAAAGACAGACAGCTTGAGAAACTATTTATACCATTTAAAATAATGAGCTTATGCATTAAGGTTTTTCCTAGGAAGTGCTGCCTAGACTTTGATTAAAGACTTTTTTTTGGAACAACATGCACAGATGAGAACAAGAATATATACGCTACCGTTCGACTGTTCAAATGTTTTGGGTCAGTAAGTTTTTTTTTTTTTTTTAAGGAAATTAAACCTTTATTCAGAAGAGATTCATTAAATTGTTCAAAAGTGACAGTAAAGACATTTATATCGTTACAAATACTTCTATTTCAAATAAATGTTTTTTTTAAAACTTTCTATTTATCAAAGGATTAAAAAAAAAAAAAAAAAAAGGTTTTCAAAGGTTTTCACAAAAATGTGTGACCATAAGAGACTTTCAAAAACAAAAATATCTTACTGACCACAAACTTTTGAGCAGGAGGAGCTAAATATTTTAAGTTGAATTCCATGCTCACCATTGTGGCATTCTTGGCTCCTACACTTGCCCTCTGAACCAGCAGCTTCTTATCTGCTAACTGCATACCATTCAGTCCTGCAATAGCCTGGAAAAAAAATATTAACGGATTAACTTTGTTAAAGTGGGCCAAAGGATGTTAAAATCCATGGATACCGTGGGAAATCTAGCCATGCCAACTCACTTGATCATTGATGTTAACATCCACATATTCACAGAAAGCATAGCCCTTTGAGAGGCCGGTAGCAGTGTCCTTAACCAAATTGAAGGCTTTGAGAGGTCCAAAAGAGGTTAACAACTCTTTAACCTGAGGACATAAAACAAATTCAAACGGATACATCACACCTAATAAAAGCAGGACAAAACAAGTTTCCATGACCATTTTCTGCTGTGAGTTTGTTTTTGTGTCAATTATGCATGCATGACCTTGTTGTCATAAACAATCTGTGCTGAAATGTGCCATACAAACTGTTAAAAGTCAGACAGAAATTAGGGACCTTTTAAATAATTAACCCTTGCTGCTCATTTTCATGTGGGGATCCTTCAAAAGGACATGCAGAGCGTGAAGAGCTACAAACACCCAAGACAAGCACAAAGCTTGGCAAACTTTACCACATATTACTGTTAGTTCTTATGGTGTTTAGGAATAATGCAATCTATCCAACTAGCTCATTATTTCAATATCACTTACTCATTTTGTGCAGTTTAGTTCAGTGATTCTCAACCTTTTTGACCTCAAGGCCCCACATTGTCCACAACAAAATTTGAAGGCCCCATGACTTTTTTTTATGATTTACTGGACAAGAATTAAGAGTAAGGATTTCAAAAAATGTACTCAAGAAAATTTTTTTTATATTAATTTATAAAAATGCCCAAGGTGTTAATATTTTATTAATTACCATGACCATTTCCAGGTTTACAAACCACATTATAAACTTCAGGCTACTTCACATATCCAGGTTTTCCAAAACCATGGGAATCTTGGTTTTCCAAAGAAAAATACAGTTGTTGAAGGGGTGAATTAAAATAAGAAATTTCCTGATGCCTAAGCTGAATGGGCCCTGGTCAAAAACTACTGGTTTAGTGTGTATATATATATAATTTTTTTTTTTTTTTTTTACAATAAAAGGTAACTGAGTTTATGGTAATTTTCATTAGGCTCTTTTATCTAAAAAGTCTTGATAACAGAGCTAAAAAAATGTTAGCTTGGAAACTCCGTAAACAACAAATGGAGAGGTCCATTTTTAAAATCAGAGACCCTGAAACCAATGTAATGTGTTATAAACCAGAAGAAATATCACAGTCTTTTGAAAAATATTATAAGAAACTATACTCCCAACCGGAAGCAGCTAGCCCCTTATTTATAAAAAAGTTTTTGGGAATCTCTAGATTTACTATCGGTAGGAATGAAACAAAACAAATTGGTAACACAAGAAATCACAGAAACAACATATTACATAGCATTCTAAGCAGTGATAAAGACTATGTCGACTAGCATTGCATTATTATATACTTTATTATAATAAAATTATAATAAGACGAACTCAGATAAACCATATATTGTTGTAGTCATGTGTTTTAGTCACGTTGAATTAATGAAAGCAGTTAAATCTTCTGTTTATTCAGCAACCACTATAAGCATTTCCTGGGTTTCTTCTGCAAGGTGTATTTGGAGTTTCCGCGCGAGAGCGCCCTCTGGCCTTCGGATGGAGATTTACTGCTGATCACAGAACCGTGCTTCACTGAAAGATACGCATGGCAATCGCAGCTTCTGCCTAATCGCGATTTAATTTCAATTAATCGTGCAGCCCTAACTAAGACTAAAATGAGAGGGTTGAAATGAAGAGAAAAGAAATAACAGTGTGGGAACAGGCTCATTTTCTTAGGGCCAAGTTTAAATAAAATCCATTCACCTGGAAATGAGAACGTAATACAAATGTATGCTGAAGCCATTTGTAATCAATGTCATGTTTGTTGTGATCGGAGATCTCAAATTAAGGAGTGAAATGTAAAGTGTGCGTACCCGGGACATATACGCTGGGGTTCTCACTCATGCCAGGTAACGGCTGATAGTCATGTGGCCGGCGAATCTTTAAACTCTGCCCCTGGAAGATGATGCCATCAAATGCCATGGCCTGAGTGGTCTCATCCACCGATCGGAACTGAAGAATTGATAGGAGGAAAATTTTAAGGAAACCAGCTTACCTATTCATTAGAAATATAAGCCTCTGTCAGTGTATACAGGCAATTCCCACCTCAAGGAAAGCAAAGTTCTTGTCCTGGTTAATCTGGACAGCGAGGATAGGGTTTCCTGGGGCCTGAGTTAGACCACCGAGTCTCATCTGGGCATTGAAGAAGTCCATCATAGATTCCTGATGAAGAAGAGTGTTAAGTAAGCCATGGAAAAAGTTTTGAGTTTGTTATATAATGCAAGGACATTCATAATGTTATAAGGGATGCACCGATTAAAGTGTACACTATTTATGGTTTGTCTAAATAAATAAGAAAAAATACACTTTTTGGATTAGATTTTCGAAACCGAACATTTAATGATGTCAATAAATTATTAGTGTTTTTAAAGATTAAATTTAAGTGAGCGTTAGATGATGGCAAGTGTAATCTAAATGTAAAAATAGAGGAAATGAGAATGCACAAATAAATATACAATATGCTAATGCATAATACATCTAATTGAGCCAGCGTTCTCTATGTGGATCTGTTCTCCAAAGCCCTGCAGAGTAATTCTAGTATGTGAATAATGTTCATTTAACACCTCTGTGATGCCAAATGGGATGTTGCCAACGTAAAGTCTGCGAGCCTGGCGAGTCATCTGACTGCCCACTACGGGCACTGGGGTCGGCGTTACTGCCAGGCCATCCGGCGTCATGGTGGGCAGCAATGCGGTAGCGGGGATCTGACCAGCAGCTGAGGGAGAGAGAGAAAATAACTGCATTAACAACAGAAAATGAATGATTAAATGCTATTGTTATTATCAAGAGATGTTTGTAAAGACCTGAACCAAAATAAATAAATAAAATAAACTGAAAGTAAGAGAGAGAATAAATAAGATTTAGTGACAGGGGTGGATGATATGAGTTTCAAATTCATATAGCAATAAAACTTTCTACACATTTCTGTGCATCGTTTCAACCGGTATAACACACCTCTACTTAGTGAATAAAATGAGTGGATACAAGGTAGTGATTTATGCCACGTCCCTCACCTTGCATTGCCTTGTACTGCATGGGTGTAATATGCTCAAAGCCAGGAGGCGGTACATCCCAGTACTTCTTAATTTTGATCTTCTTTTTCTCCCGTTGAGGAGAACGGCTGATTTACAGAAAGGCAGAGAGAAAAAGAAAAGAATTGAAGTTAATTCATTTGCATCTAACTGGTATAGCTGGTGATTACTAACTTTTATCTGACAGAGCTAGGACATTTTATTATATTTTATATTATCCCTTAAAATCCTTGTGAAAAGCAGAGAAATTAAAAACACAAAATAAAATAAAAAAAACTTCATAATAATAAACTACAACTGTTACAATTAGTACTGTTTAAAAAGATTTTACCTAACATAATAATACCACACACAGAGAAGGCTTTTAAAAGAATGAAAATTTTTCATTTTTCAAAAATGAAAATTGGCTTAAATTTACTCGCCCTCAGGCCATCCAAGATATAAATGTTTCTTTATCTGAACAGATTTTGGGAAATTTAGCATTACATTACTTGCTCACCTATGGATCCTCTGCAGTGAATGGGTGCCGTCAGAATGAGTGTCCAAACAGCTGATAAAAACCTAACAACAACTCACGAGTAATCCACACAACTCCATTCAACCAACAATATCTGTCAAAGCAAAAAGCTGTGTTTGTAAGAAACAAATCTATTATTAAGCTGGTTTAACTTTAAACTTTCGCTGCTGGCCAAAATATAGTCTATAATAATGCTTCCTCCACTGAAAAGACCAACCTCTGTTGTTCTCTCACATCAAAATCCACCGACATATTTGTTTTGGACTGTTTTCGGTTATAAACAGTGCTTGATCTGTGCATATTTCTCTCCTGATTCAGATGAGAAACCATTTTCACTGGGGAAAGCAATATTATGGATAGAGGACTCATATTTGAGCCTGAAGCAACGCTTTTCACATCACATTATGTTAATTGATGGACTGGAGTGATGTAGATTACTTGTGGATTATTGTGATGTTTTTATCAGCTGTTTGGACTCTCATTCTGATGGCACCCATTCACAGAGGATCCACTGGTGAGCAAGTAATGCTGTCACGCTAAATTTATCAAAATGATGAAATTTTGATGATGAAACAAACTCATCTACATCTTGTTCAACATGTCCTGATGGTGGGGAAATTTGTTTTAGCAAATATTCATTTTGGGTGAACTATGCCTTTAACACAGAAATGAGAGTACTAATTCATCTGACAAATGGTTTAAAAAATCACAACACTTCGATTTGTAAGATGTAAAAAAAAAAAAAAAAAAAATTTATAATAATAACTGGGTCAGCTCATCAGCAGTATTACCTGACATTTTTTTGGGGAGGGTTCTGAGTATGATCACTGAAATGCAATTTAAGAACAGGGTTTGACATGTAGCTACTTTGCAGTAGCTTAAACCACGTCTATAAAACAACTGGTTGAGGTTTAAGAGCAGGACTCATTTTTTTTACTGGGTAACTTGCTTTATTCTTGATTACTGTGCACTACTTCAGTTTTACATTAGAGGCATGAAGTGATTCATATTGTATTTACAGCATCTATTACAACAGGGCTCAACAATAAGATTTTATTGTGCTAGCAAGGCTTCAATAACTAGCAGAAAGTCAGATGTTTAAATATGCATTTACATCAACCGGCCTAAAGCTCTTACACTGTGCTGGAGATCCTGATTGAGGAGCCTTTTACAATGATGACAGTCATGTTAAAACATGACAACAACTCTCACCTGCGTCTATGGCGGCGGTCTTTGCTGTCACTGCGGCGTTCCCTGCTTCTCCTCTCTTTGCTTCTCCTTTTCCTCTCTCGGCTGCGGCTGCGTGATGGGCTGCGGCGCCGGTGCCGGTTCTCTTTGTCACGCTCTAAGACAGAATGAAGACATGAAAAACATGAGACAAAGTTGCAGGTTGCTGAAGCAAACAGGAGTAAGGAAATAAATAGAAAAAAGAAGAAAAGAAAAACATTCCAGCTGCAGATTTAAAGAACATACAGAAATCTGTCACAATATTATGCAGTTGCCACAGTGAGTATCTAGAGGAAAAAAGGAAGATTAGATGGAAAGGAAGGAGACAGGTTATACATGATTTTCTACACCTCATTCTGGGATACCCACCATGACCGTTTAGACTGTCACCTGCGCAGAAGAGAATGAGAGAGGTAAAGTCAAGTCACTTTTATTTATATAGGGCTTTATACAATATATTTTGCTTCATAGCAGCTTCACAATAATAAACAGGAAAACAACAGAATAAATGGTGCGAACTGGAGGGACACAGGAAGTTATAGCAACTTATCGCAAACGTCTTATAAGTCCTCCAAACAGAATGTGTCACTAATGACAGGTGATCTGATAACAATACGGTGTCTATAGTTACAAGCTGATCATGTAGGACAAAAAAAGTCAAAGCTTTAAATGGCATGTAATTTCTAGGACCATTAACACAAAAAAAGTAAAGTGAGCTGAGGTATCAAACATAAAACTCTCTCAGCACTAATTGTAGAGGCGTGTTTTTAAAGAATTAATTGTGACTACAGAACATTATAACAATATATGGCTTATTATAAGTACATTGAGCTTTTGTTGACACCTTTATCCAAACAACTGTGCATAAATTAAATAAGTATCCAGTCAGTAAATATCAAAAATGGCCAATTATCAAATGTTTATGCATATTTCCGACTTCCTAGATCTCTTTTCTTTATAGGTTAAGCATAAACAACCAGTATACTTAAAGTGCTGAATGAGTTTCATTACCGTCAATATACCGTCGATCAATATGTGACTATTTATACTGACAACAGACACCATGTTTTGTTATGACGATGTTACGCAAGCGATTACGGTTCATTGCAGTCAGTAATGCACATTTATACTTACCTTGCTTGTTTTCAGAAAGCTGTCTCTCAAATTCATCAAAATCAGACATCCTGGCGTTTTGATCTGAAGCAGAAACTTCCGTTAACACGCACTTTCAAGCATAGAAAGCTTTCTCAGTCACACGCTATTTAAAGGGGCGGACTACAAAAATATAGATGTTTTAAAATGTAACACCAGCATATAGTTTTCGAGACACGTAAATTCGCTCAGACCGAAATAAACGCTTTGCTTCAGAGGATTGTTAGCTGCTAATGCTAACTCCGACCAGTGCAGGATGCAGGTAAATAAAAGGTTCGCGTCGGCAAAATAGATGATTAAATCGCTTATATGTAATTATTTGCTCTTTAGATATATTCCCTTATAGTCAAATGCTATTCTTTGTCACTACTGACCGTGCTGAAATCTAGCCCGTCTCGGCCAAAGAGGCTAACCACTTACTCCGCGTTGGTGGATGCGCCGATCGTTTCTTCACACTAAAAAACACTCTGAATAAGAGCTTTGGCGCAGTGCGTCCCCTACAGGCCTGGAGGGAAGAGTTTTTCCATTTCTACCCACTTTTCATCCACAAGTCATTTTAGCTTTGCTTATCTTAGATTAGACGAGAAATTTCCTATTTAAAAAAATTATAGTGGAGTTCATGTTGAAAATGACTGAACGCTCTTTCATACTGTGTTGGAGATACGTTTAATAACAGCAGGCTACAGTTTTGAAATGAATAGTCATAATAGGAAAAATAATACATGATCACAATAACAAAAATGTAATTCAAGCCTTTAAACTGACGTTGCAATGTATAAACACTGTTTTAGTATTACATTTAATCTTCTACAGGCACACCATAAACTATTAAAGGAACGTGTTGAACAACATTGTCTCATAAATAATATTTTAAATCAACAAACAATCTCAAAGATTGGACTTTTACTTATATTTCTTTTCCCTTTTGTCAATCACAAAAAAAAAAAACTGCTTAAGTAGTCCCATATTACAAATAAGGAAAGGGCTTGTATTTTTTTTTTGTAATGCTCAATTGTGAAATCTAATATGATTTATCAGTATAACACCACACCACACTGGTGTGCCACAGTCATTTAAATAAGACAGCATTACACTTCAAACCAAGTGATTTCAATGATAAACGGATGAACCCATCAACTACTACTCTTTGTTCTTTGGGTTTCTCTCACTACGTTTTGCATGGAAATAACTGCAGAATGTTATAGCCAAGGCCACTAATCAAAGTTGGCAGACAATTTCTTTTCTTGCTTTTAGATGGCAGCAAGCTGTGATCTTTATTTTTATTCAATAATCTTTAGCCTGACATATATCGTCCAAATGTGATGACAAGGGTCAGGATACTAAAGAAAAGTGGTGTCTTGCATGATCCCCAACTTATGAACACAAACAAGACAAAGTCGCTTATATTGAAGGAGTGAGTTTCCAAACTTTACAATAAGAAACGTAAGCATTTATACAAAATAAGGACAGGTAACCCTTCATATACAGTGACTGACTATTTATCTCACAATTGTTCTTCTCCCTTTATTTATTTACCCAAATAAATGTTTTCTCTTTAACTTTCAAAACTGTACAGTATTTGTTCAAATGTTTGGTCAACATGTCATTCTTGGAATCTACACACTTTGTCAATTATTAACAGAGTTGGCACAGAGTTGGGATTTGAACAGTTTTTCACTCCAAATGTGTAGATCTAGAATTGGAGGTAGGGAGAAAAAAAAAAAAGCCCATAAAAGAAAAAGCCCCCAAAAAAGGAATACATGTGTGGAAATTTAGTGTCTGAACCTGTATGAAATGGGCAGCAAGAGGTTGTTCTTCTTCAAGGCCTGCACCTTAGCGTGAGCGTCCTCGTCAAGAGCTTTATAGCAGCGTCTTGCATAATCCAGAAGCTTTTCCTTGGAGGAATCAAACTCACCAACTTCAGATACTTCTCAGGAGCAACCAAAAGCATTTCAGCGATAGGAGTGGTGGAGGCGACAGTGTTTCGGTCAACCCCATGGACCTGGAATGCTCTAGACATGCTCTTCAACTTCTGATAGGTCACAAGGATCTTATGGTAGCGAAGCAGAACACCTGCAGGGTCTTTAACTACAAACAAAATTCCAATCATTAAATATAGGAAGTTGCTTTGAAATATATAGAAGCTGAAAAAAATTTTTTTTAAAAATCTCACCTCTTTGTCTTTCCATGCTTCGCGCGATACGGAAAACACGTCGTCTTTTCACCCTCGTCTGGCTATTCTGCCTGCCTGAACGACACTTACGTGAGCTATTACTCTCGGTCTCATCGTCATCATCTGTAACAACTTGCTCCTCTTCCACATAGTCTTCCTCCGCTATATACTCTTCCTCCTCAATCACCTCCTCCTCTTCTTGATCTGAGGTGAATAATGAAATGTTACAAAAAAACAACAACACTTTATAATTGAAACAAATTTATCTTTGCAGATCAGTTTTTCTTACAGGGTTATTAGTGTTGACTAAACTTAGACTAAAATAATAAAAAATAAAAATACAGCATCATCAAACCCATTCTTCTATACGGTTGTGAAATCTGGGGCCCCAAATTTAAATTAAACTATACATCTTGGGATAAAAACCCCACTGAAATGTTCCACCTGGAGTTCTGCAAGAACATCCTGGGACTCCACAGAAACGCCCCTAGTCTCGGCTGCAGGGCAGAATTGGGCAGATTCCCCCTTCTAGCAGAAATCCAGAAGAGAACAGCCAAGTTCTGGTTCCATCTATCAGACACACTGACAGATGATTACCATCACTGCGCTCTTACTTACAGGGCAGGACACCCAGAGAGTGACCCCATGCACTATTTAGTGGAAAAACATCAACTCAGTTCAACAATTCAGTTAAGACACGCAAAAATTAAAGAAATTGGAAAAATAACCCAGGAAGAATACATCCATGATTGGCAGATCAAAGTAGCACAAATGAACAAACTAAAGTACTTCTACAGATTAAAGACTGGTTATCAATTGGCACCTTACTTGATCAAAATGAAAGACTATAGTCAGAGAAAGCTTCTGACGAAGTATCGTCTGAGTGAGCACAGTCTGAGTGTGGAGACGGGCCGACACAAACAGAGCTGGAGAGAGAGAGAGCTCCGACTGTGTTCTCACTGCACAGAGGGACTCGTAGAGGACGAGCTGCACTTCCTCACACACTGCAGCAAATATAAACACATCAGAGACACTTATTTTACACAAATAGCTCAAATTGTGCCTGAATTCCAGCAGGCGAGCCACATAGACAAACTCTGTTATATTTTGGGAGAGAAAGAAAAGTGTATCCACCTGGCAACGCAGTATGTATCCTCCTGCCATATTATGAGGGACAAAGGCTAAACCCCCTTTTCTTTACCAATGCTCTCTGTAAATATTTACCTTATATTTGCTGTTTTTTGTGTTATATGTGATAATATGTAGTGTTTTTTTATTATCTATATGCCTGTACAACTTGTTCGCTGTTTATTGCTTTGGCAACATTGTGCTGTTCCACAGTCATGCCAATAAAGCTCATTTGAATAGAGAGAGAGAGAGAGAGAGAGAGAGAGAGAGAGAGAGCTTCACTCCAAATGTGTAGATCTAGAATTGGAGGTAGGGAGAAAAAAAAAAAAGCCCATAAAAGAAAAAGCCCCCAAAAAAGGAATACATGTGTGGAAATTTAGTGTCTGAACCTGTATGAAATGGGCAGCAAGAGGTTGTTCTTCTTCAAGGCCTGCACCTTAGCGTGAGCGTCCTCGTCAAGAGCTTTATAGCAGCGTCTTGCATAATCCAGAAGCTTTTCCTTGGAGGAATCAAACTCACCAACTTCAGATACTTCTCAGGAGCAACCAAAAGCATTTCAGCGATAGGAGTGGTGGAGGCGACAGTGTTTCGGTCAACCCCATGGACCTGGAATGCTCTAGACATGCTCTTCAACTTCTGATAGGTCACAAGGATCTTATGGTAGCGAAGCAGAACACCTGCAGGGTCTTTAACTACAAACAAAATTCCAATCATTAAATATAGGAAGTTGCTTTGAAATATATAGAAGCTGAAAAAAATTTTTTTTAAAAATCTCACCTCTTTGTCTTTCCATGCTTCGCGCGATACGGAAAACACGTCGTCTTGTTCCCCTTTCGGGCTTGAACTGATGGGAAAACTAATTACATTATTTACGGTCTTTACATTTATTTTGAAAGATGAAGCTCGCGATTATGGTAAGGGGCGTTACAATAATGATCTTTAAAAAAAGCATCATATGACTCCTTTAAGACAGATCTTTCTTTCTCTGACATGCAACATAATTAAAAAAGACACAGAGTTGTCCTGGATTTAAGACACAAATACTGATGTGTTTTTACTGTGTTGCAGCTTGTGAATATGAAGGAAGGGTTTATGAAAATGGAGAAGATTTCAGGCCTCCCGGTGGAGGTCCATGCATCCAGTGTTTATGCAAGGTGAAACACAGACACACACTTGGGGCCCTATTTTAACGATCTAAGCGCATGGTCTAAAGCGCATGCCGCAAGTGCACTCAGGGCGTGTCCGAATCCACCATTGCTAGTTTAACGACGGGAAAACGGTCGGCGGCGCATGTTTTGAACATTAAAGCATGTCAACATATTCTGTTACACCAAATACACAAAATAATGATCTTTAAAAAAAGCATCATATGACTCCTTTAAAACGTTAAAATATGACAATCTAAAAATAAAATCTAATTTTAAAATCTTAAACTACAATATTATTTCAAACTTATAAAAATAATACCGTCATAGACAAAGCAGTTAGCAATAGTGAGATTGGTGCAACTGATTTTTAATTTTATTTGAACATACACTGATTTAGAAAAAAAAAAAAAAAAGTAGGTCTAAAAACAAAATAAAAGCTAAAAAATAAAAATTTTCATTACTTGAAAATTTTTTTTTTTTACTGAAATAAAAATATTAAAAAATATGCAGGTAGTTGCCATGGTGACATTTCTTAGTTCAAATTAAAGCACTAAAATAACGAAAACCAAACAAACTAAACTAAAGATTTGAGATATATATATATATATATATATATATATACACACACACACTTTTTT